GCATCTTCACTCATGTTCTGGGAGACAGCCTTGATGTGTTGCAATGAGAGAAGGTCGAGTGTTAAGCGCTACCTCTTGTTTGGGTAACACTCAGTCTTTCCAGCTTGTAACGAGCTGCTGGTTGACTGGGCTGTGAGGAAGAGCAAGATACGCTGTTGCTTTTGGAAAGGGGGCTGCTTACTGGTATCGGAAAGAATCTGGTCACCTTCTGAGAGCATTTAAGCCTCATGGTCACAATGCAACCGCAGGCTTTGTTGCTGAAAGCAGCATCTCAGCTGAAACCTCTCTGTAATTTCTTATCGTAGCCTCACTTGGTTTTGCTTCTTTCCCCCTTCCTTATCTGCAGTGACAATGAGAACTGGATAACTTGCTTGTATTTTGACTAGGTGTGTTAACTGCTTGGCTCTCCTGAGCTGCCCAAAGGGTTTGCAACTTGGCTGCAGTCACTAAAAATACGGGTGATTTTTCTTTCCTGTTTTGCTGTAGCTGATCCTCTGCCCATCTAGGTCTTGGGTTAGAGTGGGTTTCTTTGTGTGCTGCACAGTGGTTAATGTTAATGCACCTAATCTGAATGCATTTTTGGCACTGAAAGATATTTAACTCTGCTAAATCTTATTTCAGGGTAAGTGCTTGAAGACATTGAAAGGGCACAGTAACTACGTTTTCTGCTGCAACTTCAACCCTCAGTCAAACCTCATTGTGTCTGGATCAGTAAGTGGTCCTTTTGTGCCTTTATGCCAAGCAAGTGTTGCACCCCCCACTTACCCCTCACTTGGGTGACACACAGGTTCTTTTAGGGATTCATGGCAGAGTGCTGATGGCACTAAATCAGAGGGTATGATTAGGATAGCACAGAAAATGTCAGATGAGAATGGCACAGGGTTCCACAAGTGGGATCAGTGCAGTACCTGCAGCTGGCATAATACAGAATTTATAATGCACCTGTATTCTGACTTAAGCTGAAGTATGACTTCAGTCACCTGGGCCCTCTGCAGATGGGGTCAGGTCTTAATAAATGGTTGGCTGTATTGATAGAACTGGATGATCTGAAGGTCCTTTCCAGCCCTAACTATTCTGTGATAACAATCACAATCTGGACATGAAAACAGTACAAAAGAATGTGAGTCAGTCAGTCCTTGGAGGCTGCAGGTGGTGGTGGGGCTGTCCCTGGCTCCTGTAGGGTCATGGTCTCACTGTCCAGAACAGCTGTAGGCCAGGGTCCCTGCTCGATTCTGCAGTCAGCGCTCTGTGTGCTGCTGCAGCTTGTTCTGGGATGGGGTGATGGCCATCACCGTGCTGGCTGCATGCCCGGGACCTTCAGGGCTGGTGAGGAGGGGAATAATCTCGATGCTGATAGGGATGGGGCGGAGCAATCGGGTTGGTTTGTCTGCTTGGATCAAAGGACCATTGGGGCCTGATAACGAGGGAAAGGGGACAGACGTGACACTCAGTCTCAGAATGGCTGCTGGCCTTACAAAATGGTGTTAGTTATGGTAGCACATTACCAGGGCTTGAACCTGGGGTACCAGTCACAAGCCCTTGCCATTTCAATTTTTTCTCCACAAACACAGCTTGTAGTCAGCTGAGCTCTGCAGTGCCACTGCTGTCTTTGACAGGGGACACAGTCACATCTTTAACCCATCCTCAACATGCAGGTTCCCTGCGCAGAAAGGGGGAGTTCAGGGAGCTATGTGCCACTCTCTTATTTTTGCCCTGCTTGGTTCAGAGCCTTTCTGATGCAGCTCAGTGTAGCTGGAGGAGGCCACATGCATGTAGTCAAGCTATAACACCTCGTATGCCTCAAGTAGGTGCATCATTAAACCACTTTGTGCATTTCTTCAATCTTCAGTTTGACGAAAGTGTGAGGATATGGGACGTGAAAACAGGGAAGTGCCTCAAGACATTACCTGCTCATTCTGACCCAGTTTCAGCTGTAAGTATCTTCTGATAAATGAAGGCACTAACATGCTTATGTTCTTCAGCAGAGCCGGTGCTCAATGAGAATGGAATGAGCAGTGTTTTCTGTTAAGACTGGTACGGATCTTGGTCCTGGTTGTTAATGTGGGGAGCAGGGAATAGTGGTGTGCCAGTCATGCCTGAGCCTAACTGGGGCATACATTTGTGGTCACTTGAGGCTCAGAGAACGACCTGTTGCTGTTGTGTTGTTCACACCTAATGCTGTCTGATCAGAGCATATCTGTGTTCATGTGTTCTCCTTAGCTTCTGAGGAAACATATTCCAGTCCCTAATACTTGGATAAACAGCTGTAGTTAACATCCACTCCTCTTTGTAATTATGCCAGACAAACTGAGGGAAAAGAATCTGGTCTGATCATATTGCCCATCTAAACTCAGGCCTGTGGTTTGTATGTTGTGTTGACTTTCTCCTTCTGTCCACGCGAGCTGCAGAGTCAGTAAAGCAAGGCAACTTAAAGTGGAGCTTAAACATTTGACTTTTTATGTGCATTGGTAAAGCTGTTTTTCCCCTTCTGTAATTTTACAGGTGCATTTTAATCGTGATGGATCCCTGATAGTGTCAAGTAGCTATGATGGGCTTTGGTAAGTGCTTAGTTCCTGCCTGTGACACTGTTCAAACCTTTTGCATTTAAAAAAGGACTCTTTTAAAAAGAGCTTGTATTTGTAACGTTAAAATCAGAACAGAAACTTCAATAGTAATGGTTCTACTCTATTTTTAATAGTCGAATCTGGGATACAGCATCAGGCCAGTGCTTGAAAACACTGATTGGTGAGTAGGAGTATTTCTTGTTTGTGCTCTATTTTTGCTGTTGTGACATAAATATTCTGCATCATTGCTGTGAACAGTGGCTTCCTTAAGCTCTGTTTAACTGTCTTCCTACTGCTGTGGTAGTACACTGTTTTCTTCCAGTCTGCTGTAATAAGAGGAGCTAGCCTCTTGCATGAATGGAAACTTGCTTGAGTTGGAGTGTTCTGTAGTATAGATGAACAAATCATAGAATAGAATCATAGAAGTTTTCCAAAGCTTTCTACCATTCAGCTGTGCAGTGCTTGCCATGCAGCAGTTCCAGGCTGCCACACAAAGTTGTCTGTGCTGTTGGATGCGATGGAAACAGGCAGGCTGTGATTGTTGCGAGATGCATGGAGGTGTCTTGTGAGCATGGCTGATGAAGGGAAGCCAGCAGTTGGGCATGTGTTCCCTAGTCCTTCATGGTCTTGCAGAGCATTATATAAACGAGTTAAATGGCACTGCAGATCAGTGGCATGTGTTCTAATACAATGATTTTTAAAGGTCTTGCTCTGATACCTGCTAATGCAGGGAAGGAAAGTTCATTTACAAAGGGATATTTAAAATGTGAGAAAAGTGCTTAATACCCTTTTCTTAAATGAATGAAAACAATTGCCTTTCCTACACCTCTTTCTTGAAATAGCAGGGGACAGCAAAGCTGAAAGCTTTCTTCAGTGAGATGGTTAACACGTTATTGTCAGAGGACAAGGCAGTACAGCTCTGCAGTAGCTAATGTTGCTTTTGTTTTCACTATAGATGATGATAACCCTCCAGTGTCTTTTGTGAAATTCTCACCTAATGGCAAATACATATTAGCTGCAACCTTGGACAAGTAAGTACTTAAAAACCAAACAGAAAATCCCCACAGGCTTCTGGGTGTTTGAGTGGCAGGTAAACCTTTAGTTCACTGCTCTTTAGCTGTTGTGGTAATGGTATACAAGTCCATATATACTATCAGACTTGAAAAGCCAGTGAAGTGTTGAGCTGTGCTAATGATACGGGTTGTCTTGGCAGTATTTAGTGACTGCAGCACCCATTCATTCCTCCTTGTACCTTTCAGAACTCAGCTATTCCTTGCATTGATCATATGATTCTTTTGTACCACTGAGAGTCAGAAAATATAACCTGTAAAAGACTGCTGGAACTCTGCTATGGAGGAACTGCTGTTGCTGCTGGGAAATTGTGAGATGGGAAGAAAATCCAGACCCCAAGAACTAAAATCTTTGGTTTTCTCTTGTTTTGCAGCACTCTTAAACTTTGGGACTACAGCAAAGGAAAGGTAAAACCAATCCTACCTCACTATATAGAATTCACTAAGCTTATAGGAGAATCTGGGTTTCATAAGTGCTTTTTGGTTAACTGAGACATTAAGTAATGCTTTATTTCTGCATATTTTTTTTTAATGAACAATAAGTTGCTGCTGCTCTCTGTGGTAATGTGACAAACTGAGGGCTTCCACCCCCCCTTCAGAACTGTTCAGTGTTGTAGGGCAGAGGTGCCCCCTCCATCCTCTAGATAAGTCGGCAGGCTGGGAAGCACAAGCAGATGTATGAGTCTTTTCTGGCCAGAAGAGCTTGTCCGTGACTAGAAAACCACCTCCCATCTGTGTTAATGTCCTGTGGCTCTTCACTTCCAGTGCCTGAAGACCTACACAGGACACAAGAACGAGAAGTACTGCATATTTGCCAATTTCTCCGTCACCGGTGGAAAGGTCAGTGCTTATGGGAGAGGCTCTTTGCCAACATGCAGTTCTTACTGCTTTTCTCTGGAGCTGAAACAGGAGTTTGGGAATGGAAACCTCCTTTGGTGGGTGCTGGTTCACAGGGGCTGTAGTGCAGCTGGGAAGAGGGTGTCCTAGCAGTGAGCCACTGGATGATAGGTTCATACATTGAGATGATGGAACAGGTTTAGTCCTAACACTGAACTACCTTAGCACCTCTTGCTCTGGCATACACAGGGTAGAGCAAAGCTTTCTGCTGCTTTTGTGTACTGAGCAGAGGTGCTGAAAGGATGAACCACATGAGCAGTCATGTAGTGTTGGAAGTTCCTTTTCACATGGTGGCAGTGAAATGCTGACTGAATAATAGCAGATCAAGGTGAAAAGAGATGAAAATGACTGTGTGTTTTCTCTGTCTCTCCAGTGGATTGTGTCCGGCTCAGAAGACAACCTGGTTTATATCTGGAACCTTCAGACAAAAGAGATTGTACAGAAATTACAAGGACACACAGGTGTGGAAGAGGATTTTGGTTTTATTGATGGAATATCCCTCATGTCTCTTGTAATGAGAGCTCGCCTTGAGCATTTTCTCTCTGATGTTTAGCTTTTGACTGTCAAACCCAAAAATTCTTGGCTGGCTGAAGTTTAATTGGGTCTAAGGAGTTTGCTCCTTGTTATGAAGGGTTTTTTATGGGCATCACAAGTGTTTATTCTTTCATTGTGAGAACTTTGACAGCAGCTTACAAAAGAGATTTCCTTGAGTTCAGAGCTGCTGGAGTATTGAAGTGACTTGTAATACTAGTGAGTTTGGTTTGCCTGTTAACACCTTCCAAAGCTGCAGCTTTTGAAAGGATAAGGACTGATGTGCTCCTGCTGTTTGTAAATGGCTACATCTGCCTGTTCTTGGGGGCAGAGTTGAGCATGTTTTGAGGTGTTATCTGGTGGAAATTTCAGTCTGAAGGATCATTGGTTTGGTCTCTGCGTAGGGCCAGTGGCAGCAGGTTTTCATTCTCGGACTGGGGCAGGGCTCTGCAGTGCTGCCTAAGCATTGGATGGGATAGTGGGAGTATCTTCCGCAGAGAGGAGAAAACTGACCTGGGTTTTTGTCAGCTATCTGACATAACATGCCAAGAGTACTGGCTGTGCAGTAGGTGAGAACCAGAATCCAGAGAGTTCTCATGCTGTGAAATCCATCAAACACTTCCCAACCACGACTGTCAATTCTTCTGGCAAGTATTCCCTCTGACAGGAGCAGCAGTTGTCAGTTATTTACAAGTATTGTGTTTGTAATTGTGCTCTAAAGAACCAGGAACTGGTTCAATACCACCCTGGTGATGCTGTTTGCAGGTGTGGTTTCAGAAATGTCTGCTCTGCACCAGCTCTCCCTGCTGCAGATAGTGATACCTGTGTCTCTTCTCCTTGTTTAGATGTTGTAATCTCAACAGCTTGTCACCCGACAGAAAACATCATTGCCTCGGCTGCGCTAGAAAACGACAAAACAATTAAATTGTGGAAGAGTGACTGTTAAATGCTGCGGGATCACTGAGACTGTCAGGAGAAATGTTTTAAAGAAAGAATACTAAAAACCCACATGAGAATATTAAATGCAGTTTGGCAGGAAACCTGAAGAGTGTTTGATAAAGCGGTTTCTGTTAGTCTTGGCCCAAAGAACACGTCTTAGCTCTTTGCTAGAACCGGGCAACGCGGTGAAAAACACACACAAGATGCAGTTCTCCTTCCCCTGCCTGGTCCTTGGCAGCCCTGGATCACCCTGACATCACCCTGTATTGGACACCCCAAAGATACTGTATGGCCGTGGTGGTGCCTCTGGGTGCTGCTGCCCCGCGGGAGCGCTGCCATCGCCTCTCTCACAGTAAGTGAAGTCAAAGCCTAGAGATGTGTGGAGGGTTTTTTAATGTCCGATTTCTTATTTTCCTTTCCAGAATGTAGGTTCTAGTCTCTTGGGAAGTTTCTGTCCTGTTTTACATAGAAATACTGCATCTTTAAGGGTGCTTCATTTTAAACACTCAGCTCAAACTCTGTGACCAAATAAAACCATGCAGTTCCAGACCCCCCTCTTCCTGCCCCTGACTTGACTCCTGTGGTGAAATCTCCTCTTCCCTTCTGTATAGTTGCTTACCTCTTGTTACGTGTGTTTAATAGATGCTGTTCTAGAGCAGAGTTACAGTTCTGTTAACCATTAAAATGATTCCTGCTTGTAGTTGTTCTCAGCATATTTTAAGTTTCCTCTTCTGGTTCTAAAGCTCACAGAACACTGTAAAGTTACTTCAGTGTAAAGAGTTAAAAAAACCCCAACCCAGACTTTTGTATCTTGAAAATCCATCGTATGAAGCTGTATTGATAATGGCATGACTCTGTATCTGTTTCAGCGTTGGTATTTCTTTCCCTTTTTGTCATACCCATGTGGTATTTACACATCCAGAAAAATGCCATATGCCATAATAAAAAGGTGGGATTTTCTGTGTATGCTTGTGGTAAGAGTGTACTAATGTGATGTGTCTGTGACCAAAGAAGCCTCCCTTAGATTAGAAACACCTGTGAGAGGAAGTACTTCTGTAGCAGCTCCATTGAGGGAGGAGTGGAACAGGAGGAAAGGAGCAGCAGCAGCAGCAGCATCGTGGTTCTTGACATCTCCTGTGGAGACAGAAAAGAGGAGCATAACTCAGATCAGAATTTCTTGTAAGAAAGGAAGAGGGTTCAATAGGAGCTGTCCTTGGCACCCGCAGTGTTGGTACAAACCCTCACAGAGCCCATTGGCTGAGGGGAAGGGAATCAGTCCTGCTGCCCTCACAGTGTGGGCAATGGGGGACGATGTAGGAACTGGCTGTGTTGGGCACAGCTTGTATCGCAGCCGGAGGGTTCTGCTGGGAGGGGATGCTATGTTCCTGGGGCAGCAAAAATCCATGGGTTTGGCATCAACCTCGTGTGCTTGATGGCTGAAAATCGATTGCAGTACAAATCTCTCTGGTGCCTGCTCTGGTGCTGTGTTGCCTTACCCTTGGAGACGGTGATAACTGCAAGCCATGATGTATGGCTTTGCTTTTACATATGTAAAAATAGAGTTCACATTGAGCTGGTGAGGGCCAGTAATGATATCACTGTCTTTTGAGGTTTTCCATTACCCCTAGGGACGGACATGTCTCCAGCCTTGGCGAGCATCACTGCTGGAATAATCTGTTTCCTCGTGACTCTTCCCCACTCCAGTTTTTCTCTGGGGCTGATGCAACTGTGTGATTGCAGATGTGGCTGTGCTGCTTTACCAGTGGGGAGAAGCTGGTATCCGACTCCAGCAAAGCATTTTTGCATAGATTCAAATCTGTTTGGTACTCCCCTGTAGCTGTGTCTGAGGGGCTTTGCCAGGCCCCTGCCACAGGCACCTTCTGCCAGACCAGGTTTCTCCAAGCAGTCTCTTGAACAAGGATCTGTTTTGTCCCCGAGACTGGAGAGCCTCAATGTAAAGGGTCTACTGGAAAGCTGCCTGTAAGGGTTGTGTTTAAGTCCCCAGTATCCCACCTGGGAGTATTGCTGGCACCTGTGACTGGTGCTAGCTGTGATTACACCTGGCCTGGTATGTCAGTGGTGGTCTGGGGCCAGGATTAGCTGATCTTATAAATCACAGGGTGGGAACCAAGGCTCCTGCCATGGTGGGGCTGGGTCTGCACCCTTAGGAGGGGTGTAGCTTTGCTTGTGTTGGGTGCAGGGTGGCAGTGGCGAGTGTCGGCTGGGGCTCTGCTCCTCGGGCCGAGCAAAAGGAAGCCGGGTGGGATCATCAATGGAAGGAGCTGGTTTCTTTAGGGGTTCCCCCAAGAAAAAAACATGGTTAGATGCCACGAAGTAGGTGGCAGTGCCTTAACCGTATGCGTGTTGTATAGGCCACAAGGGCCTCTTCCATCCTTATCAAGGGGAGTGCTAACCTTCTCTCCTTTCATACAACACAAACTGGTAGACCGCACACAGTCTATTTAAACCTGCAGCAGACATCTGACATCTCAGATTGTGTGAGGAATACAGTTGTGTTTTGTTCCTCATCGATTTACATCTCTTTATGATCCCGTTACACAGTTTTTACCCTAGGTCCCCGAAGGGCATAAAAACCCTAAAAACTCCCCTCAAAATAGCACAGATGAGCGCTTTCATGGTGCTCTCTTAATGTATGCATCCTCACAGCCAATAAGAACGCAGAGAGTGGATCCTCTTCCTCCGCTGCCTGTTATTGGGGCAGAGCCCCGCCGGCCGCGCACCCAGCCCAATCAGCGGGCGCGTTGACAGGGGCAGGGCACTCCTGGTTCTGCCTCGCTAATGGCGGCCGGAAGGCCGGGGGGACCCGGTTCGAGTCTCGCTTCCGGCGCGGAGCAGAGCCTGGGGCTGCGAGCGCCTCCGGCGGCGCAGGGGGAGCGGGGGCGGCCGTGCCCTGGCGCTGCCGCCCGCAGGGATGAGCTCCAGAGCAGGGTTTGCAGCGAACCCGCCTAATGTGCGCGGGGCTCAGCCGCGGTTCCGGGTGCCCCGAAGGTTGACGTGGAGCACGGCTGCTCCGGGATTGGCTGATCACATTTTCCCAGGGCAGGAAGGCCGTTTCCTGAGGGGCTTCCGGTGCCCCCGGGCTCGGGGTGGCCCTGGGATGCAGCACAAGCGTTCCGCGGTTCCAGGCGTGCACGTGGTTGAAGGGGCTGGTTTGGTTTTACAGCCCTTTTCTGAAGGTCCTTGCCTTCTGCTTCCCAAGGGAATAACGCGCAAAGGAGCGCGTGCTTCAGCCGGGAGCCAATGAGTTCATTAAGGGATTGAGAGTTAATTTCCCCTCCTCACCGAATGCTGTGATTTCTGCTGCTTTAAAACCAATCCCATTCCCCGCGGTTTATCCCCTCTCCCCGAGGCTCTGGCGCGTTGCTGGGTTACAATCGGTTATAATCGCGTTGTTCTGGGGCCAGCGAGGCGCCGCGGGTGGGTGGAGGGACGGGAATCGATGAGCTGCGTTCCCTGGGCTCTGCTCTGGGCACGGACAAGGCTGCGCTGCCTCCAGGTGAAGTCCCAGCGAGCACGTTGGGCTCTATGGGGCCAGGTCCGGGGCTGGGTCCGCGGGATCCAGCTGCGGTGGAAGGCGGTCTCTGGATGCGCCACATAAGCAGCTTATTTTGTCCCTTTAATTTTTAATCCCGTGCATTCGGGTGCGCTCTCCTATTAGTCAGCATTATCCCTCCAAGTCCCATTAGCTCCAGGAGAGCTGGGGCTTTGCCTGTGGGGATGGCAGCACAGGAGCCAACAGGGCTCTGGGTGCCCGGCGTGGCTGTGGGTCAGTCCTGACCCCACCGGTTGGGGCCATCGCGGCTTGGTGCTTTATTAAGGCGCTGTTTTCATGTATGCAAATGCCTGTGTGAGTTTCACACCCACTTGTGTGCCCTCCAGGCTCTCCCTTTAGCGCCAGGGCCGTCCCCGGGGCTGTGCTTTGTCAGGGGATCTCAAGCCTTGGATGCGGAATTAGTTGAGTGCTTCTCTCTAATAAAATTACTGCTGCCCTCTTGAAGCGGCTCAGACACGGGAGCCGGTGGGGCCGTGCCTGGAGGTGAGGCAGCCCCGGGAGGAAACAGAGGAGAGGAAAAAGCCGGTAAAGCCACGCATCTCCCGAACCCCTGCTGCCTAATCCAACTGAATTAGAGGATTTCCAAGTGGATTTAAAGCTAAATCTTGATTAGGGAGAATTTCTCTCCAAGAGCTGCTGCACAATAGTATTAATGGGAAGTGATCATGGGCAGAGGAACTAGGACAGAAATAACGGAGGGGAGCACATATGTGCTCAGGTCTGAGCACGGACCGAAAGAATCGGGGAATTTATCCAGGGGAAAAAGGAGAAATTGAGCTTTGACGCAGCAAGAGCGGGAGCGGGCTGGGAGCAGCCGCATCCCAGGGGCATCTCCCTGCCTCCTCGTGGGGTTTGTGGGTG